TTGCAGCTAGGCCTTCATGCACTTTTTAATCTTTCATTACACCCAAATAAGGTGCGGGATATATACTCTCCCGCGACCTCATTATAGACATTGTTGAATCCGACTGGGTTAATTCAAATGTTGTAGGTCAGGAGGATTGGCTAGTGGGTGAGTGGGTATGTCATGTGGCTAGGGAGAAGAAGTATTATGTGCACTATGTCGGCTTTCTTAGTTGGGAGCCCCTCCGCCATAACCCCATTCATGATTTTGACAAGCGTCTGGACTTTACTCCCCTTATCGAGATCATCATAAGCCATCGAATAAAGGACTTTGAGAGTCTGAAGGTTATTAAAGATATGTACACCGAATACGAAGAAGGATTGCCAATACTCAGAGTCATTCGGAATTCAACGACCGAAGGCCTAGCTGCAAAGACGGAGATTGCTCCAAGATGCTGGACTGAACTTGAGAGGGAACTCTGGAATCAATCTTTGCAGAATACTTACAAGAACTGGTTCTATGAAGCTTGGGGTTTTAAGGAGGGGATGTGGTATGGGCATTATGGGCCTGCGGATGATATAGAGATTACTGAATAGAAATTTTTTATTACTTAACATAATTTTCCAATAATATTAAACTTGTCATAATATTGGGCAAAAAATTATATAATAAAATAATAATATCGGCCAAAATTATATAATAGTTTTAATCAAATTATATAATAGTTTACCGTAAACTGCTGACTGGTGAGATTTAGTGGCTTAATTTTAATTTATACTCGGACACTATACATTGTATACTTCAAAGAGAAGTATCCGGGGATGAATGATTTTTATAATTTAGCTATTTAAAACTAGTGTTGGGGCATCTACTGCGCCCTTCCTCAGGTAAATACTGGTTGGGTTTATCTATAAAGAGGTAAATTTAGTGGGGGAATGCCAGCCTAGGTGGCCTTTGCGCAGCATGAAGTGAGACGGTTTGAACCAAACGGGGCAGTGCAGGTTTGGGAATATCCTTGAATTTACATCTATTCTACTAAGTTTTCTCATTTCGAAATGATTACCAAATGCTGAACTAATCAATTTCTC